GAGTAACATTAAGTACAGTCCGCGGCATATCACATCATAATGTATCATATATTTCCTTATCTGAGTCAGCTGAGCCGTATCTGGCCGTGCAACACTCACAGTGTCACATACTGTATGCAGAAGGATTATTTGAAGCAACACATTAAGTTGAGGAAACACTCGAGTCAAATGTAATGAAAGTCAGATGGTGTCTTAGACGGGGCAGTGATATCATAAACCTGTTAATGTACGCATTCAAACACTTGTTCTGTTACCAGCTGTATTCACCTTGCAGGTGCAGCTATGTGGCTTTGATCCTGGATCAAGTGTTTAAGTCATGGATGTTTAAAGTTTAACTTCTTCATATGTCTAATATTATAGTTGACTTTTCATTCAGGAAGTATGACGCTGCGCTGTCAGTACGCTTCTCCATGTTTGTGATTGGTCGAATGCTCCAGATACCACCCCTTTCATGTGAACGCACCTAACTAGATAGGACACGGCTGGCTTGAGTGATCCACTTGATAACCAGCGTCGTAGGACCGTTTAGTGAGAGCGCGTATGTTTTGGATTAGGCCAACCGGCTAACTCAAACATATCCAGGTTAGGTTGAACCGGCTTCGTAGTACAGGCCTCTGGTATAAATGCTTTATCATCAAGGAATATTAGATTAGATAAGGTCTAAGAGCTGCAGTTTACCGGAGACTGTGAGTTTGGCGCTGCACGTCTTCTCTCCGGCGTGGAAGCTGTACGCTCCCTCTTCGTCCTTCATGGTGTTGACGACGGTCAGAGAGTGCATCTTGCCGCTGGACTCCATCTTGTATTTGGGTCCGGCTTTGAGCTGCTGGTTCCTGAAGATCCAGAGCGGGTCGATCCCGGCGTGGGAAACCTCCACGCTGAAGGTCACGTTCTGAGACTCGGAGCACACCTTATCCTCCATCTGCTTCACGATACGCACCTCTGAGGGAAACACAGCAGGGGGGGGGGGGGGGGGTTACCAAAGTCATTATTCTGATCTTAAGTTATAGACTTTCTCTTCTCGCACACTTGATGTTATTTTATCCTACACTATTCTTTCTGGAGTTGTATGATCTAGAGAAAGGCTTTTTAGTTTTCACAGACAACTTTAACACCATTCAAGCTTTTGCCAAATGAGTAGTCTTCACATTATTTCTCTAACAGTTGTTTTCATTGCTAGACAGAATATAAGCCTCTCTGGCTCCATAAGCTAAAATAAAACAAAGAAAACTAAAGAAAAAACCAACAAGACCAAAGAAAGAGTTCAGTCACTTATTGCCGGATCAATACATTGCTGTTTTACTGTAGCGGACACATTTCTTAAGTGAGAGGGAGAATTCGGACACAGTATGAAACAAAACATGCAATCAAATCCGTTGAAACCGTCTTTGTTTCCTTATCTTGTCAGGAAGTGTCTTAAAAGAGGTTTCAAAGTTAGGCTTGTTCTGTTGAATCATCCCTCTAGCTAAAGGACACAGATCTGGGATCAGGAGCCAAGAGGAGGATCTCTGGAGGGTGAAGTCTTACTTTCTACGGAGAGGCTGCAGCTGGTGTCCACCTTCCCGACCACCAGTTTGTATCGGCCCTCGTCGGAGGCGAAGGTCCGGTTGAAGACGAGCCTCTGCTTGGATCCCTTCGACACCATCTGCAGCCGATCGCTGGCCGTCAGCAGCTTCTCGTTCAGGTACCACTTCACTGAGAGAACGTCCTGTGCCGAGATCTTCGCCTCCAGCACCGCCTTGGTGCCTTCGACGGAGGAAACGTCCTTCAGCGGGTTCACGATGTCGATCGCTGCGAGGAAGGAGACGTACAGACAATCAATGATCTGACGCCAGAAACTAAAGAGAACCGAAGAAAGCTAAGGATAACAAAGATCAAACCAACAATAAACTAAATCAAACCAAAGGAAACCAGGATAAAACCAAAGAAAACTAAGGATAACTAAGAGAAAAATCAAAGAAAGACATTATAAATCCAAAGGAAACCAAGTCCAAATGAAAACTAATCAAATCTGCATAACATCAGGATGAATGCAAAGAGAACCAGGATAAAAGGAAACTAAATGAAACCAAAGAGAATCCCAATGAAACAGCAATAACAGTCCAAAAAGCCCCAGAAGCCCCAGAAGCCCCAGAAGCCCCAGAACGCGCCTAAAGCCTTGAGCGTCACTCACTCTGCACGCTGAGCTTCCCGGAGGTGGAGATGTCCTGAGCCGGCACGATGAAGGCGTACGAGGCGGCGTCCTCGCGGCTCACGTTCTCCAGCAGCAGCTTGTGGATCTGTTTGTCGATGACGATGTGGACCCGGTCCGAGGCGATGATGGCTGTCCCGTTCTTCATCCAGCTGCCCTCCACGTTCTCCTGGGAGAAGCGGACCTCCAGCTGAGCGATGTCGCCCTCACACACCGTCAGGTCGCTGAGCGGCTGCAGCAGGGTGACCGGGCGCACTGCGGGCGAAAAAACAGATGTTATAATAACCACAACTACAGGTCGATACAGACTTTACACAGACGTTATTATCTCAGGGAGTATCACCGTCACCTGGCGCACTGCGGGGGACAAACACAGCAACATCATATCTAAATGTTATCCAAATGTGTCCAAATGTGTCCAAATGTGTCCAAATGTGTCCAAATGTCTCCAAATGTTATCCAAATGTTATCCAAATGTTATCCAAATGTGTCCAAATGTTATCCAAATGTTATCTAAAAGTGATATAAATGTGATCTAAAAGTGATATAAATGTGATCTAAAAGTGATATAAATGTGATCTAAAAGTGATATAAATGTGATCTAAAAGTGATATAAATGTGATCTAAAAGCTATCCAAATGATATCAAAATCCAAGTTAGAACAATATTTAGTGTAGGCAAAATGTGTGAAAATATCTGAAGTATTGTGGAGCTACAGGGATTATTCTTCAGACTTGACATCCTTGTTTGGTACAGATACTCTTTAACAAATCACAACATGATCATTTTAATCATTTGAGTCAATGATAATGTGAGTAAGGTTAATTCCCAAATGATATCACAACTGCGATATCAGTCATAATAATCCCAGTTGGTTGTAGGCGTCTTATGCTTACGCTTCATCTTCAGGGAGGCGCTGGTCTTCAGCTCTCCACACACAAAGGTGTATTTCCCCTGGTCGGTCTTCTTCACGTCTTTGACGGACAGGGATTGGCGTCCTCTGCGGGAGGAAATGACGTATTTGCTGCTGGGGGAGATCTCCTTGTCTCCGAAGAACCAGCTGCCCTCAGTGTCTTCACGAGAAAGCTCCACCTCGAAGTCTCCGGAGTAGGTCTCCGGCACCTCGATGTTCTCCAGGTGCTTTTTCAGCTCCAGGGCAGCACCTGGGTACAGAAAGGTATCAAACACCATCACACACCAAGATACAACCAAACTCAACTCAAGAAAGACAAAGAAAAACTAAACTAAACAATGATAGAACAAAAGAAATGAAATAAATGTGAGTAAGTCAACTAAGAATAAAGCCAAAGAAAACTAAACCACCAGGACAACAATCAAGAGAAATAAAGAAAAAGCTAAATAACTGTATAAAATCAAAGAAAAAATGTGATATAACAAAAGAACAAGTTAAAACTAAAGTGAAACCAAAGAAGACTCAGGTAAGAACCACCAAAACCTAAATAAACCAAAGGAGCTAAAGAAAAAACAAAGTGAACAAAAGGAAACTGAGAAAAACTAAGATAAAAACCAACAGAAAATAAAACTAAGAAAGCCAGAAAAAGCCAAAGAAAAAACCAAAAAAATCCGAGATTAAACCAAACAAAACGAAAGAAAGCCAAAGAAAACTAAAGTAAACAAAGAAGAGAGCCAAAGATCATAATGAGAAACTAAGCCATGATAACCCCATGAAGGGACTCTCAGTACCTTCTACGTGGAGCCGGGCGCTGCTCCTGATGCTCTCCTCGTCTATAACCACACACGAGTATTCTGCGGCGTCCTTCATGCTGATCACCAGCACCGACAGGAAGTGGACCTTTCTGTCAGAGTGCGTCCTGTACTTGTCTCCGGGGAAGATCTCCATGTTGTTCTTCAGCCATTTGACTTTGACGAAGGGCTCGTTGGTCTCACACTCGAACGTCACTATGGTGTCCTTCTCGTTGGCGCTGGTGTCCTCCAGCTGCTGGATGAAGCTCACCACTGCCTTGGCTGCAACGAGGAAATATCACGTTAGAGTCCGACTTTAATTAGGATTCATGCCTCGTTTGCTCACAAGTGTAGTTTTGTGTCTGCAGTCCCCGATAGTTTAGACAGGGGAACCCCTTCTGTCGTCTTCCATGGGACTTACAAATCATTTCAAGTATTTCAAAGTTAGACAACGCATTTTTCTGATCCCGTTTTGTTGTGCTCTTCAATGAAAGGGCAACTAAAACCCAAAACAATGACCAGTTAACTTTTTATAAAAGATTGTTTTATCAGAAACATTGGAGACTTTATGGTAAAAGTAAAAACAACACAAGAAGATGAACACCATCTGGGTATAAAGACTAAGAGAGATGGATTTTAAACGTACCACCAGAGTACCTGGGAGGGTTTTCAGACAGTTTTACTGTGCTTTGACTCGGACTCGTACACTGAGCCTTGTGGAAACAAGGCGACAGACAATGAGCTGGAGATTTGTGTTCAAATGTCTTACCTTGCACCAGCAGGAAGGCGTGGCTGGAGGCCTCCCCGGCTACGTTCACGGCTTTGACCATGATGCTGGCGGAGTCCTCTGCGGTCACGTCTCTGATCACCAGTTCACACAGGTGGTCCTCTGGCCAGTACCAGAAGACACGCTCCGTCTTCTCCACCAGGACGCCGTTCTTGAACCACTGGACCTCGGGCTCCGGTCTGCCGACGACTCTCAGTGTGAAGCGAACCTCGTCCATCGGAGCGACGGTCTTGCTCGTGATGCGTTCGAGGATCTTCGGTGCCTCCATGCTCGGGGAGAGCTGGACCCTCTCGGGCTTGTAGGTGGGGATGGTGATTTGTCCCTGTTCCTCCAATAACTTCCTCTCTGCTTCTTCCTTCTCCTTCAGTCTGTGAAGCAGGTCGTCTTTAGTCTTCTTCAGCAGATCCTCGTAGGAGTCGTCCCTCTTGCGGGACTTGAGGTCCACGGCGGAGATGGACTCGTAGAACCCTTCCTCCGTCCTGCGCTTGAACTTGCTCTTCAGTTCGTCTGTCTCCTCCGAAGTCTTCTCGTGAACCACTCTCTGGGTCTTACGCAGTTTAACCACCTCCCGATCCTGCGCTGACTCGCTGGTCTGATCCACTTTCATCACGTCAAACCCGACTCTGCCGGGGTCTTGAGCCGCCTCTGCAGCTTTCTGTTCTGGAGCGCGGCGCAGCACGGATCTGAAGTCCTCCTTCTGTTGGATCTCGATCTTCACCGTGTGCTCAGTCGTGCCGAGAGGATTGTCCGCAACCACCCTGACCTCGCCGGTGTCGTAGGACTTCACGTCGACGATCTCCAGGTAGTAGATACCATCGTACTTGAGTCTGTATCTCTTGCTTTTGCGGATGAGTTGCCCGTTGAGGTACCAGTTGACCTTTGGTAACGGGTAACCGGTGACTCTGCAGCGGAATCGGGCAATTTCGCCTTCATAGGCTCTGGCGGCTTCAGGAAGAAGCACGATCTCAGGTTTGCTTTTTTCATACTCGTCGTCAGTGGTGACGCCTGCAGGTCCGCCCTCGTGAGCAATGCGCTCAAACTCTTCCATCCGGTGTCCGCCCTTCCTGCCTTCGGGGAGCTGAGTCTCCTCAACCAGGCCTTTCTCTTCTTTCACGATCAGCGTGGCGGACGTCTGGTCCACCCCGTACTTGTTTGTGGCTCTGCAGGTGACGATGCCGCTGTCTCTGGCGTACGCCTCTTCGTAGTCCAGACTGCAGTATCCGAACTCGTTGACCATGCGCAGCCTGTTGGCCGCCTCCAGGGGTTTCCCGTCATGCAGCCACTCCACCAACATGGTGGGGTCTCCGATGGGCGTCAGCCGGCACTCGAAGTGAGCCGCACTTGAGCGCTTCATCCTGATGGAGGTCAGCTTCTTCTTGAACTGAGGCTTCTGCTGCTTCTCTTTGTCGTACAGGTCGCCCTCCTCCCACTGGTCCTGGCCGTAACGCTGGTGCAGGGGCTCCAGTTCCGGCGCTGCGATATCCTTAGCTTTGTAGGTTCCTTTGGTGATAATGTGCCTCCTCTCGGCTTGAGGAGCGGCGAAGTCCACCTCCACGTTGACCCTGCAGCGGGTGGTGTCTCTGCCGGCCTTGTTGATAGCGGTCGCTGTGTACCAGGCGCTGTCTGCGCCTGAGGACGATGGGATCTGGAATTTGGCCTGTCCTTTAGTTCCCTCAATCCTGAAATTCAGATATATTGATCAGCACAAACTGCTCTCAGGGATCAGAGAATCAAAGACCAAATCAGAGATACTTACTTGATATGTGGGTGCTTCTGTGGGGAGATGATGTCGCTGTTCTTCAGCCAGACGATGTCGGGCAGGGGGTTTCCGATGGCTTTGACAGCCAGCTCCACCAGAGTGCCCTGCTTCACTGTGAGGTTCTTCAGCTTATCAATAAACTGAGGACGTGTCAGACTTTCACGAGCTGTGGAGGGGGAAATAAAAAAGGCAGAGATCATTTAATAACATTGAACTGTGCCATCGCAAGTATTTGTTTATATCTGTTTCTGACGTACCTTCCACAGTGAGAGTCAGAGCGATGGAGGTGCGTCCGGCTCGGTTCTGGGCGATCACGGTCCACTCTCCGGAGTCCTGTGGCATGGCGGGGACGATGATCAGGGACTGGATACCGTCCTCTTTAACCACTATCTTGTGTGTGTAGTCATTTCCAACTTGTTGTCCTGGGAAAACAAGGATACAATGGTTTTAGGGTCGGCAGAAGCAACAGATAGAGCCGAGTCTTTCTAGAATAAGTTGTTTCTCTCACCGTTGTGGAACCAGAATGTGTCGGGCATCGGTCTGCCGACGACCTTCAGGTCAAATCTGGCGGTCTGCCCCTCGGAGCATTTGACGGAGGAAGGTTTGAGGACGAACACGGGTTTGTAGAGTCTCTCCAGCTGAGCCTCGTCGGTGTCGTCCAGCCGGCGGGATGGAGAGCGTCCGGGCGAACGGCTGGCAGAGCGTCCAGGAGACCGGCTCATAGAGCGAGGAGACGAGGATCTGAGGAGGCAGAAAAATCAACAAGTCAATGGAGGAGTCTGCTTGGTTCAGGTCATGAAGGCAGATACAATGTGGGCTATTATTCTGTGTGGAAATAAAACACTAACTCAAGAGT